AGGGCCATGGGAGTGGGAGGCTGAGAGATGTGGGGAAGGCGGGGAGGCCACCTATGGTTATCAAAAGAGTGACAGGCAAGAGGAAATGAGGGAAACAGTTGTCAACGAGTGCAAGGAGGGAAACTCTAAGACAGTGGCAGGGAGGAGAAATGGGTGATAATACAGGAGCAACACAGGGACCGCAGCTGGGGTTTCAGGGGAGACAGAGGGTGGCGGAGTAGCAAGGTGGACAAATGCTCCATCTCAGCTCCGGGCTTGCTGCTTCAGGGCAGGGGGAGGTAAACCAGCCTCTAAAGGCCAGTGAGGCTCACCCTCAGGGTAAGATGGCTTCCATTAATGTAAAAATAGGAGAGCAGCAGCCAGGCAGGTTACTGGAGACATAGAAGCTGCGCTGGCTTCCAATGCGCTGAAATGGAATGGCTGGGGAGGGCGGAGTCTGAATCAGATTAGGAAGCACAGAGCTGTACAGGGAAAATTCTGGATCACAGACCGGGAGGCTTGAGCATCTGGGACTGACCAAGCTGGCTAGGACGTGTAGATCCTTCCAGGTCTCTGAGTCACCAAAAATGCCTCATCCCCACCCAGAGCTGCAGTCCTCTCTGGCAGCTCGAGATGGAATGCAGGCGGGGGAGGGAGGGCCTCCTCTGCGGGTGTGCTGTTGTCAGCTGAGGGTGCCGGCTGGGTGCATCGATGGGAATGGTGGGTGCCTGGAGGGTGCCTGGAGGGCCGTGGCAGTTGCTTGGCCCTTCCACAGGCTGGGGTTGGGGAGACTCACACGGCGCCCATGCTGTCATTCCCATCCACCCCCACCCCGCTTCCTCCCTTGAACTCCCCGACCCCCTCCAGGTACTGCCACGTTGACTTGCCTCCCTTCCACGATCAAACAATTCCAAAGAACTAAAGATGCTGTTGTCAGGGCCTGCCGCCCACTGCACCCCTGCACTAGCACAGCTCTTCTCAAGGCCATGTGTGTGCCAGCCACACAGGCCCCTGCCTACAGACCCTCCCCCAGTCTCTCCTCACTTCCCAGCACTGGCTCTTTCCTGTGCAATCAGCTCCAGTGGCACCTGCTTCCAGGGCTTTCCTGAAAGATCCCATCTAACGTGGCTCCTAACGTCTTCTATTGCATCATCCTGTTTCATCGTCTTCACAGCACTTCTCGCCTCTGGAAATTATCTTCTCCATGTTATTTGGCAATTTGTTTACGTTCCGTCTCCTTGACCTGTAATACAAGCTCCTGGAGCAGGGCCCTGGTCCGTCTTCCACACTGCTCCATCCCTAGCACCTAGAACACTGCCTTGCTCCTACTGGGCACCCGAAGAATTCCTTGCTAATCGAGTTGGCCTTACAATAGTACCTTTAACTCAAGAGCACACAGGTAAGGCTCTCGGCAGGGTAACGAGGGACTTCCTCAGACTTCCTCAGCCTGAGTGAGCCTGGCAGGAATACAAATCCAGGGTTCACAGGTTCAGTCGGAACTCCAGGGCTGGATGGACCTGGCTCGGGTGCTGAGCACTTTGAGATGTTTAGTTCCTTCATACAAGTTCAGAGGACTGGAGACCTGGGATCTTCTTTGGAACCTCTTCCTCATGTCCCGGGAATGTCTCTATTTGCAAATTCATGCATGCTTTTGCCTTCCCCTTCTATATCCTGGGGGGTCAGAAGGCCAGGCCTGGAGGATCCAGGGAGCCAAGGGGGCTGAGTTCAGATCTCAGATCCAGGTAACAGGCTCCACAGGTCTGTCGCTGAGAGTTATGGGCATCCATTCTCTCTCCCTCTCCCTGAACAACCCATTTTCCTAGCTTCCTCCCTTTGGGGACCCCTTTATCTGAGAGTCAGATCCCGGCTTTATCCTCCCCATTCCCTAGCCAGGCTGGAGTTATTACCCAGGGAATAAAACACCCAGACAGGGCCCGAGTCTGCATCAGACAACATCAGAGTTTACGAAAACGGAAACGATTCCTGGCAGTGTGGGCCTGGCCAGTCCATTGGACTACGGACAATGGAGGAGACCAGCCCAGCTTGGGAACAAGGCTGTGGGGTGGGGGTGGGGGGCAGCTGTCCAGCCCCTGCAGCCTGGGTCTCAGGACACCCTGTTTTAATCTCCGATTAATTCCCGTCTCACAAGGCAACAACGAAGAGGCAGCTCTCCCCCATTCCCTGTCTTTTCCCAGAGCCAGAGAAAGCTCTGATGGAGCGAAGCAGAATCAGGAGTCTCTGTTTCTAGTTCCGGCTCCTTCGTTCCTCCATTCACTCATCCGGCACACTCACTGAATGCTTATGGTGCTAGCCGTGGGTGGTGCATGTGGCTAACACAGGCACAGAGCCTCCCTGAGCAGAAGCACGGGCTCTTTCTGGCCCTCGGCTTCCTGTCTGTGAAGTGAGACCACTGGATTAGCTCAGTGGCTCTTCAAGTACAGCATGCATGGGAATCGCGGGAGGACCTGTTAGAACACGGCTTGTGGGGCTCCACCCCAGAGGTGCCCACTGCGCAAGGCTGAGAAACTGTCTTGCTAACAAGGCTCTGGTTGTCGCCTCTGCTGCTGGCCCAGGGCTGCACTTTGGGGACCACTGGGCAAGATGACCCTCGGGCCACTGCTCACTGTGACAAACCATGCTGCGGGTGGCTGGGTGGTCACCGGGGTAGCCCGAGCAGAAAGGGATCATGGGGAGCTGGCCTGGAAATGGAAGAGTCCTGTGAGTTTCCTGAGCTCGGGGTAAATGGATCAGAGATAAACCCCAACAGCGGCACTAAAGCATTTGCTTCATTATTTTTTTAAAAAAATGATTAAAAAATAATTCCCCAACATGAAAGTTCAATCAGATGTTGGAGAAATTATTTTAACTTTCCATAGGGGAAAAAAAGGCTCCACTAAAAAGCTACCAGGGTATTGATGTCTATTAAATATTTGCTTTTCTCTCTAGCCCACGCTAGACTGAGTAATTTGTATTTGGCAGAACCCAGCTGCAATTACATTAGTCAATCCAAAAGCCCAACTTGCTCATACAAAATGCAAACAAATTAGTTAAAATGGCCTAATTAGTGGACTGTAAAAATACAAACTGAGGCTGGCAGCCTGATGTGTGTTAGTCAGGAGCGCTGTCTCCCATGTGGAACGGCGGCTGAGCAGAACCTCGCACTCAGCTCCACCAGAATGCACGGTCTTCCCTTGGGGCCTCTGGGAGCCAGCGACCCAGCTGAGCTCCCATGGTTCTGTCTTGGGTAACCTTGTCTTCTCCTGGCCCACAGAATGGACCCAGCTTTGGCCAAGTGGGTGCAATGGAAAGAATGTAGGGTTTGGATCCAGCCCCATGTGCAGCCTTGAATCTCAGCCCCACCAACTCACCAGCCACCACTTTAGTCAAGCTGCTTAACCATCCTGAGCCTCCTCTGGTTTCCTTTTTTTTTTTTTTTTTTTTGACAGGCAGAGTGGACAGTGAGAGAGAGAGACAGAGAGAAAGGTCTTCCTTTGCCGTTGGTTCACCCTCTAATGGCCGCCTCGGCCGGTGCGCTGCAGCTGGCGCACGGCGCCAATCCGAAGCTAAGAGCCAGGTGCTTCCTCCTGGTCTCCCATGCGGGTGCAGGACCCAAGCACTTGGGCCATCCTCCACTGCACTCCCGGGCTACAGCAGAGAGCTGTGATGCCCGAGCGGGACTAGAACCTGGTGTGCCGGCACTGCAAGGCAGAGGATTAGCCTATTGAGCCACAGCGCCGGCCGCAACAGCACATTTTAATGTCTTCCAAGTGATTCTAAATGTAGTCAAAGTTAAGAATCACTCCTCTGGGGCAGGAGTTTGGTACAGTGCTTAAGATACCACGTGGGATACCACATCCCATATCAGTGTCTGGTTGTGTCCTGGCTCCACTCCCAAACCAACCTCCTCCTAATGTGCACTCTGGAAAGCAGCAGGTGATGGCTCAACTGCTTGGGCCTCTGCCACCCTCATGGGAGACCAGGATGGTGTTCCTGGCTCCTGACTTTGGCCTGGCCCAGCCCTGGCTATTGTGGGCAACTGGACAAGTGAACCAGCAGGTTCTTTCTCTGTCTGCTTTTCAAGTAAAATGAAAATGAATAAATAAAAATAAAAACAAATCATCCCTCAGTGTTAAACCCTTTTTCAGTGGAGAAAAAGAAGGAAATATTCAACAAGAATCAAAAAGTAAACTAAGGAGCAAATCAACAACAATAACTAGAGACTCAGAGCGATGTGAATTATATCCAGGCACACAGAACTCTCTCTTCCTAAGTCCACTCTTGATCCCAACTGTTGGAGCGGACCACTGGCTCCAGAGAAGACCCAGGGCTTCCTACCAGGCTGGCCTTTGCTGATAATCAACTCACGTTTTGGTAACACCTTCCCACCAAATCACCTGTCCGGCTCTGTCGTGGTGCCAACACCAGCCAGGCTGAGACGGGGCATCTCAGGGACGCACTGCAATTTTTCTCAAGGTCATGCAGCCAATCGGTGTGAGACATAAAACTGAGGTGCCAGGAAGCTGGGTATTGGACGAATTGAGAATCCTTGGCAGTTGTGGCCATCGGTCTCAGCGAATCGTGTCAGGGTGCTTCCCACCCACTTGTGGATTCCATCTGAGGGCAGGCAGCAAAGTCACATGCTTCCTGTTTCTTTATTCTACTTTTCACATGTTTGGGTTAACATGCAGTACTGTACACCTTTGTGGGGACCGGTGCAATGTTTCCACAGATGCACACAGTGAAAACTGCTCCAATCAGGCCATCAACACCCTCTCCTCCCCACCCTTCTTCCACATTTGGAGCCTCTAGTCCTATACACAGCAAATGTAACACACATTTGCATCCCACTGCTGTGGACACACAATAGAATCTATTGTGCTACTTAACTGCACACACTTTTTTTTTAAGATTTATTAATTTGAAAGGCAGAATTACATAGGGAGAGGGAGAGGGAAAGGGAAAGAGGGAGAGAGTGAGAGAGGGAGAGAGGGAGAGAGGGTGAGAGGGAGAGAGAGGGAGAGAGAGGGAGAGAGAGAATGAGAGAGAGAGGGAGAGAGAGAGAGAGAGAGAGAGAGAGAGAGAGAGAGATTTCTTCTCCTGGTTTACTCTCTAAATGGTTGTAACCTCCTGGTTTAGGCTAGCCTGAAATCAGGAGCCTGGAACTCCATCCTGGTCTCCCAGGTGGGTGCAGGGGTCCAAGCAGTTGGGCTTTCTTCCTCTGCCTTCCCAGGCACATTAGCAGGGAGCTAGATAGGAAGCAGTGCAGTCAAAACTTGAACTGGTGTCCACTCTGAGATGCCAGCACTGCAGGCAGAGGCTTAACCCTCTGTGCCACAACACCATCCCCTACACACACTTCAGACGGGACCAGAAGTAGAAGTTTTCCTGAGCAGTGAAGACATGTTAGCTTCCTGGCGGTTCAATTCTTTTTTTTTTTTTTTTTATAAAGATATGCTTATTTTATTTGAAAGGCAGAATTATAGAGAGAGGGAGAGAGAGTGAGCAAGTGAGTGAGAGAGGTGTTTTCCATCCATTGGTTCACTCCCCAAATGGCCACAGCTACCAAGCTGGGCCAGGCTGAAGCCAGGAGCCAGGAGCCAGGAGCCAGGAGCTTCATCCGTGTCTCTCATGTGGGTGTAGGGGCCCAAGCACTAGGACCATATTCCACTGTTTTCCTAGGTGCATTAGAAGGGAGCTGGATCAGAAGTGGAGCAGCAGGGACTCGAACCAGTACCCATATGGGATGCAGGCACCACAGGTAGTGGCCTTACCCATTATGCCACAGCGCCAGCCCCCTGGCTGTTCAATTCTTACCTCAAAAAGGGACTCTAGGGGCTGGCATTGTGGCATAGTGGGAAAAGCCTGCAGTGCCAGCATCCCATATAGGTGCCAGTTCGAGTCCTGGCTGCTCCACTTCTAATTCAGCTTCTTGCTAATGTGCCTGAGAGAGCAGCAGAGGATGGCCCAAGTGCTTGGGCCCCTGCACCCATGTGGGAGACCTGGAAGAAGTTCTTGGCTCCTGGCTTTGGCTTGGCCCAGAGCTGGCCATTGTGGCCATTTGGGGAATGAACCAGCAGATGGAAGAACTCTGTCTCTTCTCTCTGTGTAACTCTGCCTTTCAAATAAATAAAATAAAATCTCTCTCTCTTTTAAAGGAACTCCTGACCCCTTGGGGACTGAACCTTGTTTGTTTTTGTATTTTGTATTCTGTGCTTAGTGAGTGCTCTTTGGGCTCATTTCCATGGCCTCTGCCGACTCCAGCAGAGTGGGACACTGGGCCGAAAGAGGTCTGGACACAGACCCCAACCCCTAGGCTCTTTGCCCCTAGGGAAAGAGCAAGTTAGTTTTGCCCTCATGTCCATCTTTCCAAACCAACTCCCAAAACCCAAATCTCAGGGAACGTGAACACACAGGGTCCTTTCTTGCTGTGTGGTCTCTAATCATTTCATTGCTACTCTAAGTGCTCCTAGATCCAATTCACTCAGATACTTGTCTTGGGTTGTGGCAAGGAGTCAGGCTGAAGTTAGATCCTTGGCTCTGCTTACCTTCTACTTCTCTCTCTCTTTTTTTTTTTTTTTTAAAGATTTATTTATTTATTTTAAAGGCAGAGTTAGGGAGACAGACAGGGAGAGAGAGAGAGAGAGAGAGAGAGAGAGAGGTCTTCCATCAATTGGTTCACTCCCCAAATGGCAGCAATGGCCGGAGCTGTGCTGATCCGAAGCCAGGAGTCAGGAGCTTCTTCCGGGTCTCCCACACAGGTGCAATGTTCCAAAAACTTGGGCCATCTACTGCTTTCCCAGGCCATAGCAGAGAGCTGGGTTGGAAGTGAAGCAGCTGGAACTTGAACCAGGGCCTACATGGGATGCCGGCACTGTAGGTGGTGGCTTCACCTGCTATGCCACAGAGCCGGCCCCTGCCTACCTTCTTTCCTTCTCCCATCTCAGGTTTATTTGTACAAATGGCACAGAAGGACAACAGCGCCCATCCTTCTGTCTTTCCATTGCTAGACAGAGGCCTTTACTATGGATCCTTCATAGGGGCCTGGTACCAGTAAGAACTGGAGCCAGAGCTTGAGCCAGGCCCTGGGCCTGGCTTAAACCTGGCTTTGGTCTTTGGCCACCAGAGCCCAAGACTCTTGGCAATGTGGACATGAACATGCTTCCTGAGCTTGGGGTGGATGATGTGGGCAGGCTGATTGAGCTTGGGGTGACCCACTTTGTGATTTGGCCTTGATGAGGACCTTGGCCACCTTGGTGCACTCACGGCCTCAGCACTGTTGGCCTGTATTTCCTTCATGTCCTTGTGCTTCTTGGCAAAATGCATGCTCCCAGCACCTTGGGGTTCACTCCCTGAAGAGACCCATGTCTTTGAGATATAGGCTTCCTGGTGCCACTTCTGTGCTATCTTCAGGACTGTGTAGGGGATGGCTCTTGGTCTTGGCCACGTAATCTATAGTTCTTGAAGCACCTGGGATAGCGCCCACCTTCTTAAGTCAGATGCCTGTCTCACTGATTGTTGGTCTTTATTTCCTCATTTGCTCTGATAATTTAAAGTTAGAAGTTTCCATCTAAGCCCTGTTTTGTCTGTGTCTCACAATTGCTGAAATACAGAATTTTATTTTAAAAATTTATTTGAAAGGCAGAGGGAGTGCAAGTGCTCCCATCTGCTGATTCATGTCCCATGCGCCTGCAACTAGGAGCCGGGAAGTCACTCAGGTCTCTCACTTGGTGACAGGAACCCAGGTACTTGAGTCACCACCACTGCCCCCCAGGGTGTGCATTAACAGGAAGCTGAAATCAGGAGCTGGAGCCAGGGACTGAACCCAGTGCTCTGACGTGGGATGTGGGCATATTAACCTGCAACTTAACCACTAGGCTAAAATGCCTGTCTCTGTTCAGAATCTTCTAATTGTCTTTTGTGAAAGTCTGCTGATACAAAAGTCAGTTTGTCTGAAAATGCATTGAGATGTATTTTTTTTTCCTAAGCATAGATTTTTAGGTTGCTAAGTATTTTATTTCAGCACATTGAAGATATATTTTCCCTACCATCTTCTGGTTTCTATTGTTGGTATTTGGGAAACCAGTTGCTGCACCAATGATTAGTCCTTTGGAAATAATATTTTTTTCTGACTGTTCCTTAGATATGTCTTTGTCTTTTGTGTTCTGCAGCGTGATATGTTGGGTGAGTGCACTGGTAAACGTTAATAGTAGGTTCAGACTGATGGAAAACCTAGACACGGACACCACTTGGATAATTCAGAAGAGGTTTGCTTATCTCAGTAATACAAGTGGGAGTGAGCACTGTGAGAATACTGAGCAGAGACAAAGAGGGACAGATAAAAGCTTCTGGAACCAAGTTTCCACAAAGGAGTCCAGATGGTCAAACTTACAGTGGGGTTACATCTTGATAAACTGTCAGTGTAAGTAAAAACTGCATTTAATACACCAACCCTTGTGAGCATCCACGCTGAGCCCCACAGTGCCCTGTGGAGTATGCGATGCTTACAGTTACGACAGCTTCACAGACAGGCCTCAGGGGCTTACTGCGCCGCCCAGCATCACACAAAGGTATTCTACTGCAGGGGACAGGATCAACATTCAAAATTTGAAGTATAGTTTCTATTGAATGAACAGCACTTTTGCATGTTTGAAAAGTCAAAAAGTTCTAAGTCAAACCATCATAAATCAGGGACGGTCTGTACTTGGTTGTAGATGGCAAGTCCAAAGTGAACAAGGATCACATCCAACTTTCTATAAGAAAGATCTTCCCCTTCTAAGACTGATCATAGCTATAGTCTTTGGCACAACATGTAGAATGGATGTCTAGTGCAGTAGAATGTAATATAGTTTTCTTGTGCATGAACATGATCCTCACTAAACACGCCTCACGTGGTCCTAAACCTGTGATACAGAATTAGAACAAAGCTGGGGTCCCAAATATCTCTGTAGGTCATACTAGCCATGGGCCTACTCTGCCATCTAGTTTTATCTTTTATTTGTCCTTCTTGATTTGGGGAGCTTTGGGAATCTGTGGAAAATTCTTGTTTTTCAAATACTGCTCCTGCTCTCTGCTTCTCCCGTTTGCTATAATTCACCTGGGACTCAAGGAAGACATGTTCACCTTTCCCTACCTGTCTCTTAGCATTTCTTCTACTTTTTCTTCTCTTTGTCTTTCTGAGATGCATTCTGGATATGTTTTTCAGATCTACATTCTAGGTCACTGTACTTTCAGCAATGTGTAACCTGTTGAAGCCAGGTATAGTTTTTCATTCAGTGATTACATATATTTTGTTACTGATGAAAAGTTCTTCTTCAATCCTTTTCCAATCTGCTTGGGCATTTCTCTAGTTTGTTACTTCTTTGTCTTCTTTTAATGTTTTTCTTTATTTCCTCAGATGTATTTTTCTAAAAGATTGTTTTATTTATTTGAAAGGCAGAGCTACAGAGAGGCAGAGGTAGAGGCAGAGATAGATAGGTAGGTAGGTAGATAGATAGATAGATAGATAGATAGATAGGAAGAAAGATAGATAGAGAGAGAGAGACAGAGAGAGAGGTCTTCCAACTGCCGGTTCACTCCTCAGATGGCTGCAATGGTCGGAACTGCGTCGATCCAAAGCCAGGAGACAGGAGATTCCTCTGGGTCTCCCACGCAGGGGTCCAAACCCTTGGGCCATCCTCCACTGCTCTCCCAGGCCATAGCAGAGAGCTGGATCAGAATGGAGCAGCCAGGACTTGAACAGGTTCCCATACGGGATGTTAGCACCACAGGCGGCAGCTTTACCTGCTATGCCATGGCACTGGCCCGTGAGTTTACATCTTTTCAAGTTTATCTATGGGAATTCTTTGACATTTGGCTTTAAGTTCCTTCACAGAGATATCTTCTTATTCTTTAAGTCCCTGGGGCCACTGTTAATTCAGATTCACTTTCTCAAATGTTTAATTTGAGGGTTCTTGGACGCCCTCCCTCCTCAGGGAGTATGAAATTAAGGTGCAAACCCATGAAGGGCTGGTTTATGATTACAAGCTCTCGGCATAATTCTCCCCTTCTGTTTAGTGTCCAAGTTGGATGCATGTGCTTGTACTTGTAGTTAGAATGGAATCTGTTTTATTTCTCACTCACCTTTACACTGATGTCACAGTAATTTTGGATGCCAGCTTCATGCATAGGGATTTCTACTGTATCTCTACCTTGGGTAAGCTCTAGGGTCTTTCTCCTTTTCCTCTGGCCTGTGAATCACGAAAACTGAAACCAAAGTTTGTCTGACTTGGCAAATACCTCAAGGCCAAGGCCAAATTTAGCGCTCCAGTTCTTTCTTTGGATTTTCATTTTCATCTGATTTTGGATTCTGAATATTCCTTTGTTTCTTTCTAAAAAATCATCAGAATGTTACAAAACACACCCAACACTGTTTCATCTGAACCTGGGCAATCAATTGATCCCCCAGTCTCCTCCCCTACACAACTGCGTGCTTCTGAGGGTTATTTGAGGATCACTTGAGATTCTGCCAAGAAAGATCTTTCAAGCTAAAAAGCAAAGCAGCATACCAACATTAGAGAATTTTATGACTCTGTGGCCAATGATCTTCATTATGATGAGTGAAGAAAGTGAGAACAGGGTGTTTACAAGCCAGGCTGACATTCATCTATTCGTTCAACAAGCTTTTGCCAACCAACTTCTCTTTGGCAGTTTCATAGCCTAGGGGTTGCCTGATCCAATTATTCCCTGGCAGGTTGAAGCCAAGACAAAACTGGTTTATTTAATAATTTTTAAAAAGCCTCATCTAATCAGATGATGCTGATGGATCCTTTTTCTTCCTTCTAAATGACAGACATAAATGGAAATGCATTTTCAAGCACACTCTCATTTCCTTTGCTGGCCAAAAAAGTATTCCTTTTTTATTTTGCTTCAAAATTTTATTTATTTATTTTTACTTTTATTTGAAAGAGAGAGAAATCTTGTAAGCAAATTGGGAATGAAGAGCCAGAGCTGGGCCAGGTCTCCACCTGGGTGGCAGGGACCCACTGACTTGAGCCACCACTTGCTGCCTCCCAGGGTGCACATTAGCAGGAACCTGGATCAGAAGTGGAGCAGCCAGGACTTGAACCAGGTACTCTGAGATGGGATGTGGGTGTCCAAGAGGTGGTTCAACCACTGTGCCAAACACGGGCCTGCATTTGTCCCTTTGAGATACTTTTAAAAGTCCTGATGCCTTCTGGGAATTTTTTTTGCCAAAGAGCATTTTCAATTCAAGCTATATGTGGCCTGGCTTGGGCCAGCCCTGTGAGGAGGGAGGCTGCCAGTGTAGACTGAGAGGTAGGGGACGTGGGTTCGAATTCCCTTGCACAAGTCACCGTCCTCAGCTCTAAACGACCATACGTCCTCCTCTCGTAGAAAGGGGCAGTGCTCCCAGGGAGGCTGTGAGGTCTTGTGAGGCAACGCGGAGAACAATACCCTGGACATGCTGAAGCTTCCCAGCTCCTGGGGAAAGGAATTCGTAGTGCCTGGCAAACGCTTAGGAATGACTTCTTCACAACCTCTTCTCCCTCCCCCATCACATCACAGGCCAGAAAACACCTGCAGGATCGCTCTCCTGGGAACCGCAGTCTGAAATGCTAAAAACACTGTCCAGCCGGGGGACACTGGCCGCAGGGGCCAACGCACTGCCGCCACTGTGCCTGAGCCTCGGCTTCTCCCCAGCAGTGCCCTCCTGCAGCCCCGGAGCCCTGCTCCCCTTGTGCTGGGCACAGAGTGCCCGGGTGGCTGCTCTGCAAATGGCTGTGGCATGAGGGGTCAGTGTCAGGACGTGCTGACTGCAGAGGACACTGTGACAGGCTGAGCCAGGGCAGTAATTAGACAGTGAGAGCTTCCTCCAGCAAGCTACAATCAATAGGTCCGCTTACCGAGGAAAAAAAGATTAAAGTCAAGCAGATGGCAGAAGATAATAACATCTCCCACTTAACTCGCATTTTCACTTGTCAAAGTACTTTTGCCACTATCTTCTCGTTTGGTCCTCAGCACCTCTTTTCTCGGATCCTCTCGTGGGCGCAGGTGTCCGATTTTACAGGCAAGAGAGCTGAGGTCCGCAGCCGGCAGCTGGCTTGCCTCGCTGTGGGAGCTGGAACACACATTTCCCTTCTCTCCATCAGCCTTCCCATCAGCCAGAGACACAGATCTCCAAGAGCCCAACACACTTTTATTGAGCACCTACTATGTGCCAGTTGCAGTTCTAGGCACAGTGTATACAACAGCGAATGAGGCCAAGTCGTCTTCCCAGGGAGGTTGCATTTTAATGGGAGAAGATGACAACACACACAGACGGTCTAGATAACTGTAGGTGGCAGCAGGTGCTATGGAGACAACGAAACAGAATGATTTGACAGAGAGGAACTGGGGAGGCTCCAGAGCCAACAAAGGCTCTCTGAGCAGCTGACGTCTGGGCTGAGACCTGAATATGAAGGAGTTGCCTGAATGTCAAGAAAAAGCAGAGGGGCTGGTGCTGTGGCAGAGCGGGTCAAGCTGCCTGTGTGTGCTGGCATTCCATATGGGCACCGGTTCGAGTCCCAGCTGCTCCCCAGATCTCTGCTGTGGCCTGGGAAGGCAGTAGAAGATGGCCCAAATCCTTGGGTCCCTGCACCCATGTGGGAGACTGGAAGAAGCTCCTGGCTCCTGGCTTCAGATTGGTGCAGCTCCAGCCATCGCGGCCAGTTGGGGAGTGAACCAGCGGATGGAAGACCTCTCTCTCTCTGCCTCTCCTTCTCTCTCTCTGTAACTCTACCTTTCAAATAAAAAAATATTTAAAAAAGAAAGAAAAAAGAAAAAGCAGAGTAAAGAAGAGGGAGGAGCAAATGCAAAATAACAGCAAATTAATAGAGCTATGGGCCTTTCTCATCTCTGCAGATTGAAAGGAGGAGTGCAAAGAGAGGATGTCGTCTTGTGAGGCAGAGTGCTGGCCTGGAAAGTGAGGATTTCCCTCTGGGCCTCCCTTCCCAGGCTACCACCTTTCCTTCACCCCTGGCCTCAGATGGCCCGACTGTGAAGTGGACACAATGGTGTCACTTACTGTTACTGACACTTTCAACCGCAGGGCTCCTTGTAGACCAGAGGAGAGTTAGAGACATGTGATGCGAACATGCCAGCACGGGCTTGCAGATTCTTCAGACAGTTAGGGAATATTAAACGCTTCCTATTTTGAATGATGTTATGAAGATAGCTAAAGGAAGCCACTTCAGTCTCCTCGTCTGGATTTAGTTCACCTGGTGCGGCGGTCAAGGACAATATCAGTTTCCCAGCACCTGCTTTCAATGACACCTCCATTCCTCGACTGTGCAGAGCACTCCACCACGCAGAGTTCCTTGGTAGCACTTACGAGACGTCCATGAGGTCGCAAGCCCCCTGGGCAGGCAGGGACCACTTCTTCCTCATGCTTGTCTACATACCAAGGGTGCATTAATGTTTGCGGGCAGAGTTTTATCCCCATCACAGCCCTTCTCCCCACACCCCGTTTCCTGCGGGCAGGGTCATTACTAGCATCCCAACATCAGGTGAGAAAACAGGCCCCGGGAACTTAAGAGACCTGCAGTCTTTACCCAGGTTCACCTGATCTGACGGGAAACTTCTCTTGGTTCCTGTATTCACAGCAGCAGTACAAATATCCATCAAATTTTTAGAGACAGACGCAAAGGTGGATATTTCTCTGCTTAAGACATCTGAGTTAAGGATCTCAAATCCCAGGCTTAGCGGGATTTCCTGGAGGGGGCTGACAGGCCCCGAACCCTGCACTGTTACCCAGGAAGGGACTAACAAGATTAGCGAGCCTTGGTCTGCAGCACGGTAACCAGACCGCAGACTTACCCGGCCTTGTCGAGGTCATCTTGTGGTTAAGCGGCTACTTGGAGGGCAGGCGTCATCCGCCTTTTACAGAAGGTCCCCGGCGGCAGGACCTTGGGGCTTCACCTCGCTTGCACTTGGATTTTCTGCAGTGCCCATCAGTTCTAACCACCTGCGAGGAAAGCCACACGCCTGAGACTCTTACTCTGTGAGGAGGGAGAAGGGGAGTAATCAAATCAGTCGAGCTATCTTAATGGAACTGAACAACAATGCTATAATAGATTCAGAGAGAAACACATTTTCATAGTGTCCGTTTTTACCCAAACACGCATTCCTTTTAAGGCTTCTAAAGTAGCTCAGGCTGCTGAAGGGACACAGCCAAAGGGACCCAGGCCTGAGAGCTCCTGAACTCCCTTCCCCCAGTGCATCAGTCCTCACCCCCGGCTGCACGGCGGAGTCATCTGGGGAGACGTCAAAGCACAGCAGCCGAAGTCCTGCCTGCAGAGCCGACTCAGTAATTCTGGGATGAAGCCTGGCCTCCTGGAGGTTTCAAATCTGCTGCCGAGTCTAAGGTTCAGCTGAGACTGAGAACAATGCTCTCTAAGAGGCAGTGCAGGTGGGCGAGGGAGGAAGGGAGCAAGGGAGCGAGGAAGAGAAAATGTCCTTTCCTTGCTGGTTTGCACTGTCCGCCCTGGGACAGTCACCTCCATCTACTTTGTTGTCCCAGTTTTATTTATTTATTTATTTTTAAATTATTTGAAAGGCAGAGTTACAGAGAGAGAGAAAGAGAAGGAGAGAAAGTCTTCCATCTGCTGGTTCACTCCCCAAATGGCTGCCTGAAGCCGAGCTTCTTCTGGGTCTTCCACATGGGTGTAGGGGCCCAATGGGCCATCCTCTGTTGCTTTCCTAGGCACATAAGCAGGGAGCTGGGTCAGAAGTGGAGCAGCCAGGACTTGAACTGGTGCCCATATGGAATGAATATCAGTGCTGCGGGCGAGGGCTTTAACCTGCTGCATCACAGCGCGGGCCCCTGTTGTCCCAGTTTTAGCACAGAACATCCTATAGCTCAGGGAATCACTCAATTCCAGCCAAACTGAGAAGGTCGTTCACTCTCCTACCCTGTACTGCACCTCGGTTGGGTTGGTTCTTCTGCATAGTAGATGAGGAGGGGGTGGGGAGCAGGAGTTCCCATAGTCGGGGGGGGGGCGGGGAGGAAGCAGCGAAGAGAGTGAAGAGAGAAGTCAGCCCAGGGCTGGGGGCTGTCGTCCCTCCAAGGTACAAATTTCATGAAGGGCCACAGGGTCAAGCATACTCGATAGGAGTAACCTTTTCCAACTTCATCCTAGGGTTAAAGTAGCACAGGGTACTGGCAAGTCCCCCGAGGCTGCAGCGGGCTGGAGATGATGCACACCCCAAGAATGACAGAAATTGCAGAAGGTGCAAAAGAAGAAATGGGCTCAGTGGGATTGGCGTGATCTGATGCTATTTTACCTGGGCCTGGGAGCAAGGCAGCTCCCAGGTGACAGCTGAGTCACGGCATCTCCACTTTATACTTGGCCTTTTGCTGGACACTTTGGTTAGACACTGTGCCTGCACTTGTAGCCAAGGCGAATGAACGTGGTGGGTATGGGAGCAGAGAGCCTGGAGCTTCTGAAGGGAAGGCCCCAGGAAGCGTTCACCTGGGGTGGGTGTGGGCTGGAGGGGGCTGGGCTGGCACAGAGCAGGCATCCGGAGAAGAGAGTAGCTTAGCCAGCTTCGTAGAGGGCGCAACCCCGTTTTATATCATATGATAAATTTCGAGTCATGCCAGCTGGAAAAGCAGTCATTGGCCAGGAATCTGTCACAATTAAATGTGCAGAAATCACTTACAAAATGACCTTGCAGGCCCGCAATCATCCTCAAAGTCAACTGGACTATGGAGGTTGGAAACAGACAGCTTCGTTCTCATTCTGTCTCTGTCTCTCTCCTTTTTTTTTTTTTTTTTCCAAGTCTCCTTTCCCTGCGGCCTTGGCCTCGGGTGCAGTGAGCTTCCAGAGGGAAGGGAGACACCTATTAAAAATGTTCGTTCCAGGCGGATGGTTGCTTCCAGCAGGCTCTGGTGCCAGAGTCAGGAATCTCGAATCCCCAGCCCTTGCCCAAATCTCAATGGCTAGTAATTAAATTTCCACTAACAGTTTGTTTTATCACCTCGGCTAGCTTGTTGACATATAATAGGTGCTGCTGAGAGCCACCTCCAGCTAATGATTTTCTTTTACATATTGATATTAGTACCTGGAGTGGGAACATCACCTCTGCAGAATATGATTACTATTTTGAAATCTTAAGCACAGGAGGGAAATCCGTTTCTATAAATTAAACAAGAAGTTCTGAGAACTTCTATCTTCAGTTCCCATCCAGACACTAATGCATCTCATTTACTTTGTGCTGTTCCCCTGAGTTATCTGTGTCACGCAGCCGATGCCTGCATGTCACTTTAACTATCTATTGAAGCAAGCTCCAAGTGGGCTGGTGACGGTGCCCTGAGCCAGGATGCAAGTCGGGAGCAGAACATGAAAAATTCATCACTGTTACATTTCAAGTTGCTTGGATATTTTAATTCGAAGAGGAAAGAACCCATGTCAGCTAAAGATGGAGCTGTAATTAAACTGATAGGCCGCTCCCAATTGCCTCCAAACCTGCTCCACTTGCCGTTTGTTTCTCTGCCCCATCTTTAAACGACACGAAATCAATTATCTCAACAAGCCAGCGGTGAGGGCTGAAAGGCAGCCACTCGCTGCTGAAGGGAACGCGCTGTTTGGACGTCGCCGTGCGCCCCCGTTCCCGCGCAAAGCCCGGCCCTGTTACTCGGGTGTGGGGCCAGGAAGGCGCAGCCCCCGGCCTCTGGGCAGTGCGGAGCAGCTTCACCTCCAGAGCCACCGCCCCCTAACGTGTGTGGCTTGATGCAGAGTGACAAACGTGTTCCCAGCGTGCCCCAGAGTGACAGCTACAGGGTCAAGGGGGGCGAGCATCCCGGACTGAAAATCCCTCTTGTGTGTCGCGGTGCCGGCCACCTGGAGCCGTGATGGGCACCGGGGTGTACAGGACCTGAAATGGAGTTGATGTGATGTCATTTTGGCTCTTCCAGAACCTGGTTATCTCTCGCCAAGACTTCACGTCTGATTAGGCGGCGCGGAGCGGACAGCGCGCTTCACCGGCCTCGTGTCGTGACGCCGCCGTCAGCTTCAGAAACGCGGCGAGCGAGCGTGAGATGAGGTGTCACGGCTTCCTCCGAGAGGCCCGCGTGAGCCGCCCCTCCGTCGGCCGCCTCCTTTGGCAAGCTCTAATGAAGGGGGACATGAAGTTCCGCCTGCTCCCACCTGGCCGTGCCTGCTGCCATTGTCTCTTCCCCAGGCGGCCTCGCCTGGCCAGTGCTGGGCTGGTCCCCGTGAGCTGTGGGCCTCGAGGCGGCCCTGGGGGTCTGCGGAAGGAAGGGGCCGGGCCTGCGGGCGGTGGGCAAGGCTGCTCCGGCTGCAGCTGTCTGAGGCGGGGAATCGCCCGCCAATCTGCCGACAGCACATCCTGGCTGGCGGCTTTGCTGCTGCGGCTCTAGAGGTCCTGGACCATGTAGGGGCCCAATGCTGCCCAACTTCCTGGCTCCCGTGCCAGCTCCACCCTCGCCAATCCTCCATCCCATCCACCTCCATCCCTCCAGGGGCAAAGGCTGGCCCCGAGGGAGGCAGATGTGCAGCCTTCTCCCAGCCAGGAGAGAAAAAGACGTGTGGCCGCAGGGTTGGCTATTGGAAGTTAGGATGTTCAAGTGTGACCTTGGCATTGGCCTGCAGTGCCCTCCCGGGTTCACCCTGTCCCCTGCTCTGTACATACTCAGAGCTCCTGGGATGTCACATCCCTTGGATTAGGATCGAGACCACAGACTCGTTTCCAGTGGCCTGTTAACAACTCAGTATATGGCCCTTGAAGCTAGAGAATTTGACTTTTTAAAAAAAGATTCATTCATTTATTGGAAAGGCAGAGTTACAGAGAGAGAAGGAGAGAGAGGGGGAGAGAGATCTTCCATCTTCTGGTTCCGTCCCCAAACAGCCTCAATGACCGTGGCTTGGCTAGGCTGAAGCCAGGGGCCCAGAGGGTCTCCCACACGGGTGCAGGGGCTCAGGGACTTGGGCCGTCTTCTGCTGCCTTCCCAGGCACACTGGCAGGGATCTAGATCAAAAGTGGAGCAGCCGGGATTCTAACAGGCACCCATATGGGATGCCGGCATTGCAGGCTGCGGCTTAACCGGCTGTGACACAGCATAGGCTCTGAGAATTTGATTTTAAAACAAGAACCTGTGGAGATCAGTGCTTAATCGAGAGGATTGAGTCTTTAAGGGTGGAATTGCAGCTACTGAAAAGATCTGATATGCTGGAACCCTGGCAAGGTATTTGTCAGGGTTCCTTGGGGCCTATGCTCTGAACATTGGTACCTTCATTGGTAAAATGGGGATTCTCTCAGGCCTAGGTCTTTTTTTTTTTTTTTTTTTTTTTTTTTTGACAGGCAGAGTGGATAGTGAGAGAGAGACAGAGAGAAAGGTCTTCCTTTTGCTGTTGGTTCACCCTCCAACGGCCGCCACGGCTGGCGTGCTGCGGCCAGCGCACCGCGCTGATCCAAAGGCAGGAGCCAGGTGCTTCTCCTGGTCTTCCATGGGGTACAGGGCCCAAGCACTTGGGCCATCCTCCACTGCCTTCCCTGGCCACAGCAGAGAGCTGGCCTGGAAGAGGGGCAACCAGGACAGAATCTGGCGCCCCGACCAGGACTAGAACCCGGTGTGCCGGCGCTGCAAGGCAGAGGATTAGCCTATTGAGCCGAGGCGCCGGCCAGGCCTAGGTCTTACCTCTGGCAAAGAGCAGGCAAGTGGTGACCAGCTGGGGGCACGCAGGTGAAGTGCCATACCAAATAGCAACGTGTGAGCCCTAAGGTCATTCTTTACTGTAGGATGATGGGTTTTGCTTAATGGGCAAAGCTTACAACTTCCTTGGATTTAATCCAGGAAGGAGACTCTACCAGCCTACCTCAAAACACAAATTCTGTCTCACAAGAGTTCCATGTGGGCCCTTCCCTGGCCCGAGGAACACTTTTGCCCTTCCCTGCTGTCCTCTGTGCGGACCAGACATTCACCTTCCTGTCCTCTGCCAGACAGGGTGAGTGGCAGCAGATAGGAGCCATTCGGTGTATTTTAAGCAGCAGGGTCCTCACACAGGTGCTAATGAAGCCATGAGAAGGGCTGAGGAGGCGTCTCTGGGAGCAGGGGACCAGAGGCCAGTGCCAGAAGCACTACAAGAACACAGCCCAGGTGAGGCCTGGGAAGCAGGAAGCCCCCCCCCTCCCCATCCCCATGCCTCCCACAGCCCACGGACCCTCCCTGGGGATCTGTTGCTGGAAAGCCTAGGGGCCTCTGTGACCGTGCTTGCCCCAAGCAAGCATCTCACGGGAGTGCGTGTGATTGACAGAGTACCACTGACACCCAGAACCCCACCTGCAAAGGAATCCAAATGGCAAAAGAAGAAAGAAGAGTGGGTGCTGAGAGCCACTGGCCACATCTCTTCCTGTTCTGCCGGTGAGCAAGGCTGCGACAGGAGCCTTCCAGAGACTTCACTCCATCTGAAAAGAGGACAAAGGGCAAATAAACATGGGCAGTGCAAGGAATTAAAACACACAGTAGTGTTCTCATTCTCATTCCTCCTAGTGTCTCAGGCTTCCCTGTAGCCCCAAACATCAGCATCCCTATGCAGACAACCAGCCTGGGCTCCCTGCACCTGGCCTCATGGACTGTCCAGGTGACAGGATCACCCACACTGCATTCTGTTCAGTTCACAGTGACAGAAAGAGGGAGTCCCCTCCTGTCCAGTAAGGGCCCATCTCCCTGTCCCCTGTTTTTTTCTCATGATTAATCATACTTCTTCCTCAGGTATTAGAAACCAGTACTGATACCTCCTTCAGGTGGAACCCAGAGGTAAGCGCATAAGCCAAAAATATCACCTTGGATGCTTTTGCTTGCCGGTGGGAAAAATATGCCAGTCCAATCATTGTCTTATTTAAAGCCCGGAGGGGGCAGGCTTTTGAGGCTGTTTGAGTGGGGCCGTGACCCTGCGATTCTGCATTTCTCTGGGCTTGACACTTCTCTGCACGTTGGCGTGGTTCACAGGTTGGCTTCCTGGATGGCCACAAGATGGCTGCAGAAGCAACAAAGGCAATGTCCTCTCTCTTCACTCCAGGGAAAAAGAGGGGTGGTGCTTAGATTTGAATGTATTCCCCAAAGTGTTCATGTGCGGGAGACTCAATTCCCCAAGTTCACATGTTACTGGTATTAGGAGGCAGAGCCTTTGGGTAGTGGTTAGGGTTAGATGAGGTCAACAGGTGGGGCCCCCATGATGGTGTTAGTAGCTTTGTAAGAGAGGAAGAGAGGCCCGGGATGGCACACTTGCTCTGTGTCGCCACGGATGCCCTGTGCCTTCTTAGGAAGCAGCAGGAAGGTCCTCACCCAAATGCTGAGCAGCTGCCGGTGCCAGTCTCTCCGACTTCTCGGCCTCCAGAGCCTTGAGCCACATGAATTGGCCTGTTTGTAAGCTATTGTGAAAAATATTTATTCACTTATTTGAAAAGCAGGGTCTCAGCACAGTTGGAGACCTTTGCTCTTGAGTTCTCATAATGACCGAGGACATAGGCTCTATGGTGATGAAGCAGAGAGCTTTCCTGGGTCACGAGTCGTAGGTGGAAGAACACGATCGTCTGTCCTCTCCTCGCCCATCCAGCCGGGAGACATGCGAAATCCACTGGGTTTCTGGGGGAAGTTTCCTCCCTGACCAGAAATAAAAAAGCATCGAAAGGAGAAAAGCCTTTCCTCTTTTTCTCCCTTCCTTTCATATTCCTTGTTGAGGAGCAGTGGCAGGCGTCTGATGGCAGTAAGTGTGAGGACGTTCAAGACCACGGAATAAAGAATCCTCCACCTAGCGGCGCCGGCACACCGGGTTCTAGTCCTGGTCGGGGTGCCGGATTCTGTCCCGGTTGTCCCTCTTCCAGGCCAGCTCTCTGCTGTGGCCAGGGAGTGCAGTGGAGGATGGCCCAAGTGCTTGGGCCCTGCACCCCATGGGAAACCAGGATAAGTACCTGGCTCCTGCCATCGGATCAGCGCGGTGCGCCGGCCGCAGCGTGCTGGCTGCGGCGGCCATTGGAGGGTGAACCAATGGCAAAGGAAGACCTTTCTCTCTGTCTCTCTCTCTCACTGTCCACTCTGCCTGTCAAAAAAAAAAAAAAAAAAATTGCCCGGAACCTGGCCCTTGATGACAACACTGGGTTGCTAAACCAGTCCCTACTCCACCAACCTCTGGATTTACTTGAAATAAATAATAAGCACCCACATACTTATAAACTTCTGCTAGTTATTTATCCCTTTACTTGAAGCTCGAAGCTTCCTAATTGATGTAGAGGTCTTTCATGTTGCACCTTAAAATGCCTCTCCACGTGAACAGCACACACCTACGTCTTACCCACAAATCACCCGACTCTGTTTGGTCATTATATTACTAGTGCCAGCTCAAGCCCATTACTTAGCAAGTCTGACAACAAAAACATTACCTTCAAGAGTATGAACTGGAAGAATCTTTTGTAGTAATGACCAATAATTTAGCTGCAACATTTCATTTTTTAAAAATTTTATTCACTTGAGAGAGTGTGCACACAAGGGAGACAGAAACACAGACAGACTTAGAGACAGAGAGAGAGAGAGAGAAATCTCCCATCTTTGGTTCACTCCCCCAATGCCTACAACAGCAGGGGATCATCCAGGCCAAAGCCAGGGGCCAAGAGCTCAGTCTGGGTTTCCCACATGGGCAGTAAGGACCCAAGGACCTGATCCATCACCTGCTGCCTCCCATACTGTACATTAGCAGGAACTGGAAATGGAGCCAGGACTTGAACTCAGGCATGCCAACATGGGATTGGGTGTCCCAAGTGGTGCATTAAGAACACGCTAATGGAATTGAATCCACATCCCACAGTGGATAAACAGAGGCTCACCACGGAGGTGGTGGTGATGGGACTAGGAACTACAATCAGCATTCTCATTATCCATGAGAGCAAGGTCAGAGAAAGTTCTGAAGAACCTTTGCAAGCTGGTACTTCTTCAAATTTCAATATTTTTTAAAAAAGGTTTATTTGAAAGGTAGAGTTACAGAGAGAAAAGGAGAGACAGAGAAAGAGATTTTCCATCCACTGGTTCACTCCCCAAATGGCCACAGCAGCTAGGGTTGGGCCAGACTGAAGCCAGTGAGCTTCCTCCGTGGGTACAGGGACCCAAATACTTAGGCCATTTTCTTCTGCTTTCCCAGGCTCATTAGCAGGGAGCTGGATTGGAAATGGAACAGCCAGGTCTCAAACTGGTGCCTATATCCGATGCTGGCATTGCAAGTGTGGCTTAACCCACTATGCCACAACACTGGCCTGGAATTTCAAGATTCTTATCTATAGACTCACTCCTCCCCTTTGGTTGAAATTAGGACTATCCACCTGCTTTACCCACAAAGTACAATCATGAATTCAGCATAGTTTAATCAGCTCTAACCAAACCCCCAGGAATGAGTGCAACACAATGTAATACAACACAATGAATTCAATCACCAAACCTAGAGCGAGTGTGTATACAAATGAACCTAAGTCTGCATGCTCCTTGTTTGCTGGGTGGCTGTTATTATCAGAAGATTGCCACCTTTCCCAGTTATGTTTCTTTCCCTCTAGGTACTGGGGAGGAGTTGCAGCTAATGGAGAAAGGTGAGTACTCTGACAGTGGACCCTGCCCAGGCTGGAGTCCAAGGACCTTGCAGCCGGGTTGTCACCCTAGGATAAGCTGATTGCTTGTTTTCTATATAGACACTCTTTAAATGCTTGACTTTTTACAATGCAACACATCATTCAACCCCCTTTTACCCATGAAGACATAATTCAGGGAATGACTCTTTGTTATTTATAGGACCATTGCTTTCTTTTTAAATCATTTTGCCTGCTTTATTTGCGATGTCCTCAGACAATACTTTTGGTCTGATTCTTCCTTGGACACCTAGCAGAGGCATCCTGCCGATCAGTTACAGACACGGCAGGAGGGATGGGGCTGAGGAAGGAACCTCTGCTCCCCAGCCCCTCCTCTTCTTTCCCTGCAGACCTAACCATGATAACAATAATGACGTCATCGCCCTGCATTTACATGGAATTTTGCACTTTTCAAAGAGTCTGCACCTTGCAATGAATAACACATGTTATCTTTCCAAGCATGAGAACAGAACTCTATGTCAGAGGAACAATTTCTGGTTGGGGAAGGGAGGCTGGGTAGTAGTACACGTACCCTGGGATTTTTTTTCCTTATCACTTTTGTATCTCTCTTGAGGAAGGGAAATCTATTTTTGTTATTCACCTCACTTATTTTGAGTCCAGATACTTTTGATTAGGCCACTACCCTGTTTTCCTACGCCCAAGCAGGGACAACTGTCCACCAACCGTCAACATAGTTGAGAGCCTAGAATTTTCTTAAGGTATCACACTCTCAAATAAGCAATTTATTTGTATTCTATTTAAAACATATATATTTATTTACTTATTTATTTGAAATGTAGAGTGACACAGAGAGATCTTCCATCCACTGATTCACTCTCCAAATGGCCATAACAGCCAGGGCTAGGCCAGGTCGAAGCCAGGAGCCAGGAAATTCATCCTGGTCTCCCACATGGGTAGCAGAGGCTCAAGTAGTTGGGCCATCTTCCACTGCCTTCCCCGGCACATTAACAGGGAGCTGGATTGGAAGCAGAGCAACTGGAACTCAAATCAGCATTCTGATATGATATGCTGGCATCACAAGTGGTGCCTTAACATGCTATGCCAAATGACAGTCCCCAAACAAGCAATTTCTGTGCTCACTTTCTAGTAACTTGGATTACAATCAGACAGCATCTTGAAAAAAAGACTTATCCTAGGAACTTTGGGAGAAGGTTTCCATCAGAAGGTGGCTATGATAGAATGGAAAGAACACTGGCTTTGGTGTCAAAGAACTTGGGTTCCAAGCTTGCAGCTTGGGTTCTGTAGCCAGGCACTCCTGGTTCTGATCCCAGGCATTGCAGATGACTATGGATGATTCTGTCCAAGCTCCTTAGCCCTGCAGAGTCTTGGAGCTAAGAAACTGGAGATCACCAATGTGAGATGTTTGGCTCAATGGCCCAGGTACAGTAAGTGAGAGCTGCCTCCACTTCTGCTCTTGCTGGTCCCTTAAACCATGGTCTCCAGTCCCCTTCTCACTAGTAGAGGAGAACACAGTTACGTATCTGCCATTAACAGAGATTAACTGATTTTCTGTATCAGGTCTGTATTCTAGACCAGAGCAGGTGTGTTGAGCTGTCTGTGAGGCCTCTGTCCTTGGGAAAGTGTCCAGGACAGTGACCACAATGAATTCAATAATAATGGTAGAATATACAAGGACAGAATTTCAAGTGGGTGAGAGCCTTGCTTCAAGAGGATAGAGGAAAGGTAGGCATTCCATGTAGCAGTTAAGACCCCAGTTAAGACACCCAAGTCCCTACCAGAGAGCCTGGGTTTGACAACCAGCTCTGCTTCAGATTCCA